TTTCGAAGGTTACATCAACACCAGCACTAAATTGGCGCTAGCATCAGAGGGCCTTCCTAGTGACGCGAATTCCTTACGTAACCTAGATTATCGTTTCCACAACGCCTATGGCATCGGCTTAACGGAAATTGAAGCGGATCTCTCTGCATTTAGATCATTTTTTTCTTCGGAGAAAATCCAACAGCTTCAAAAAGTGAGGGAGAGTCATTCCAAGTACTTTTCTGGTGGTTCTCCAAATAAAAATAATTTTTTTTAGAAAAGTTGACGCGAACAGAGGAACAAGCACCCTCTGAAAAAATGAACGATAGCAAGCTTAGTGTTTTTCTCCTCAATATTCAGTCCATAAAACACAAAACTGACGAATTACATTTATTACTAGAACAGCTCAATTTTCCAGAAATTATTGCCATAACTGAACATTGGCTAAATATCGATGAGCCTGTATTTGTCAAAAATTACACAACAATATCTAGGTATACTAGCACTCTATTATCCCACGGAGGTACAGTAATAATGTCTACTAATAACAACTTTTCGGCAGTGACTAAGTTCGACAATTTATTAATTGAGAAATTATTTGAATTTTCTATCGTCTACAACAATATTTACGACATCTACATTGTTTGCATTTACAGAACACCTGACGCTGACTTGGTTACATTCTTTCAAAATTTACTAAGCTTGCTTGAGTCCCTCCCTCTTAATAGTAAATTAATTTTGTGTGGCGACTTAAACGTAGATTTTTCCAGTGTACGTGCTGCTCAAGGATCTCTTGACTCTATATTTGAATATTTTGGTATAGTCATGCATGCTCAATCTCCGACACGAATAACTGAAAACAGATCTAGCACTATCGACTACGCCGTGTCATCATTTGATCTAAATTTCGTTGAATGTTCTGTTTTAAGTTCAGGTTTTTCAGATCATGAAGCAGTACTCACAAACTTTTCTGTGAAGACGATTGGCAGGGACGCTCCACATAAGTTACGCCGAATTTTCTCAATTGCTTGGGATTGCCTCTCTGATGACATTGATAGTGCATTTTCTACATTTGCAAACACTCTCTGGTTTGGCTTCCAAGGCATTTCCTCTTAGGCCTATCAAAAAAAAAGCAACATAAACCTTGGACTACTAAAGGCTTGCGCATATCGGCAAAGAACTTGCGCCCGTTGGCACACCTTAAAAAAATTTCGGACAATCCCTTCTTCCAAAATTACGTTAAATGTTATAGAACAACTTATCATAAAACAATAAAAGCCGCCGAAAACCTCTAGTATGACAACCGGTTGGCTCAAACCGAAAATATTGCCAAGGAAACGTGGTCTATTGTCAACGATTTGAAAAATAAGGCTTCCTCATCCAGTATAACCTTTACCTCACCTGAGAACCTGAACGATTACTTCGTTAATGTCGCAAAAAATTTAATGACTACTATAGTTCCGTCCCGTGATCCACTTTCGTATCTTTCGAATACCAATATGAATTTACACAGTTTTTTTCTAACACCCGTGGAAACTTCAGAGCTTTGCAGTACAATTAAAGACATCAAAAACAAATTGTCATCTGGGACTGATGGGCTCACTTTAAAAATGTTTCTCAATTTAACAGAATGTACATTGAATCTCCTCACCACTTTAATAAATAAATCATTCCAACAAGGTGTTTTCCCGAATTGCGTTAAGACGGCTATAATTATTCCTCTGCATAAGGGTGGAGATAAAGATCTAGCTTCGAACTATCGTCCAATTGCACTTCTTCCCACTTTATAAAAAATCATTGAAAGATTGGTTAAGAAAAGGCTTCTATCATTTCTGCATAAATATAAGATACTAACTACTCACCAATTTGGATTTCTAACCAACAAATGTACTATTGATGCTATGTACTCTGTCTTCAATAATGTCTACTCTAGCCTGAACAATTTGCACTCTACAGCATCAATTTTCTGTGATTTTTCTAAAGCATTCGATTGTATAAGTCATAATACCCTAATCAACAAATTGCAGTACCTACTACGGAATTCGAGGAATGGTTCAAGTCATATCTTAACAACAAAACACAACTTGTGAGGGTTGATACGACGATGTCTTCATGCAGGCCAATAGAATGTGGAGTTCCACAGGGTTCCGTGTTGGATCTAATATTATTTTTGCTGTTTATCAACGACGTTGCTAGTCTAGACATCAGCGGTAAAATCTGCCTCTTTGCTGATGTTACTGGTTTCACTTGGAGCAATCCGGATATTGTAGCACTCCATAGAACCATGTCCAATGATTTGTTTACCATTAAATCATGGTGCGACTCTAACCTTCTCTGTTTCAAAGCCGCGAAAAGTTTTTGGGCCTTATTATAGACAAGTCCCTGAAATGGAGCTTGCACATCGATGCTTTGTCCAAAAAATTGAGATCCGCTTGTTTCGCAATAAGATCTGTTTCCAAGGAACTTTTCAACCTCTAGTTCAGTCTACTTTGCCCTCTTCAAATCACATCTTCGATACGCCCTTCCATTCTAGGGTACATGCGGTGCGACTCAATTTGAGTGTATCTTTAAATTGCAAAAAAGGGCTATTCGTTATTCTCTTAGGCTGAAGAATAGAGCCCATTGACAAGTTTTTTTCAAAAAATATTACATATTAACACTCCCTCCCTTATTCATACTAGAGTCAGTGTGTTTAATCCGCAAACACCTATCAAGTATTTCAGAAAGGCCATTCCATCATTATCCACTTAGAAATGCGGAGCATGATCTTTACCTTCCAACCCCATCCTCAGAATTAGTTGAGAGCTCTATTCTGTACAACGCAAAAAAAAATGCACAACCATCTGCCAATAGAAATCAAGTCCATATCTTCTCTTTCTGAATTCCGCATAGCTCTAAAAGCATATTTGTTGGAAAGAGCCTTTTATAGCGTAAATGACTATTTTGCGAACACATAATTTTGAGCATTCCACACACTGGAGCATTGTTTATAGGTAATTTGTTTTGTTAATAATTTATTAGATTAATTTAGTTTATTTTATACTTCGAACTTGATGTACTTATGTATTTTGTTTGTTTTGTTTTGACTTTGTATACAGATAGATGTATATTATTTAAGGCTTTGTCAACAAATTTTGTTAAATTTTTTTCTGACAATAAAGCATTATTATCGTCTACAACAATATTTACGACCTCTACATTGTTTGCATTTACAGAACACCTGACGCTGACTTTATTATTATATATATATAGAGATGCTAATTCTCTTCTTCCAAGCCAACCTCCTTCGCCAGCCTTCTCTCTCATGATTCTAATTGCTCATCTAGCGGTCCCCTCCACCACGATGGAAAGAGATGCGAGACCTACAGAGGCAAACATTAAATGCTTGGCCTGAATTTGTTCTGTTGCTCTCGATCGAACGTCTAGGCTTAAACAATGACTTAGCAGTTTACATATTTTTAGTTGATGATGGCGGTGGTAACAGTGAGCTAGCTGGTGTTGAACTATTGGCATCAGAGGATAGGGATTACACACAGGGACACATTTAAAACTGAGCACCGCACCAGTTTGCTGAAGGGATTCAATGCTTCATGACAGACAAGGACTTACTGCAAAGAAACGTGATTGAAGGAATTTTCCCTGAAATAGCAACATATATTTGTTTATTCCATACACTAGACATTTATAGATCGGTGTCTCGTCAGAAGCTTAACATTAGCTAAGCAGAACAAACAACTACATTGTAATTACTTTAAAAATTAGTGTATTCATCATCAAATGAAGAATATGATCTTATATACGATATATTTTTAAAAGAAGCACCACCCACACTGTTGACATATTTCAATAAACACTGTAACTCAATAAAAGTGGAATGGACTGTATGTCATATGAAAAATGGTAATTTAAATAATAGAACAAACAATAAACTAGAATCTATAAATAATAAAATTAAACAGGTAGCCGCAAAAAAACATATCTTTTTCTACTTTTATAAAATAATTTTTTCTCTGGCTCAATTATTTTTATAATGAAAGAAACAACAGATTAGCTAATGAGTTTTTGATAGCAAATATCAAAATTTTTAAAAAAGGAAGTATTGAAAATAAGTACAGTAAATTGTTGACTCGATACGCATATGATTACACTTTAAAAAGCCTGACCCTATGCGGACCGTGTGACTTTGAAAGAAAAAATATGGTGTATTTGAGGTGAGCCATAGCATTCAAATCATATCTGTTATGAAAATCACTGCACTTGCTCAAATTTTAGATCTGTTTCTTCCATGCCAGCATATTTTTGCTCAAATTATCTCAAAAAATACCGCAAAATACAAATAAAATCATTAAAGTTCATTAAACAAAATACTAGCTAACGTAAATTTCACGTAGAGAAGTGTTCTCTACTGATCTGGCAGGCGCGAAACGGTTGGCATTTATATAACAAAGGCAATGCCTGCTCGTACTGGGATTGGGGGAAGCACTCTTGAAATTCAAGCGGACTAAATGGGAAATGACAGAACAAAAAAAAAACACATAAAATTTCCGTGGGTTGATACTTTAGGGTTGAGTGATTCTCACATAGGCACCTACAAATAAAAAAAATAGTATTTTATTTTAGTGCCCCAGGTGTTTAGCCATAGGGTAGCATGTCACTAAATCATTTAACTATTTATTTTATTTTCAATTAAGTAAACTTATGTTTCATGTATGTAAGAAATCAATTGTTTTCAGCCTCTAATTTTTTGCTGATGTAACTGCCGAGTTTGCTCTTTTTTTGGATAAGGTGTTTGACAGCGTCAATGGCCATACATTCAACCCACACATGGGTAGTGTTCACGATATTTATTCAAGAACGAAGTATGCATCATGATTTTTTGAGAAAAGCCATCCCTGTATTTGAGAGTATTGATTTTTTGAAAATTTACAACAGGAGGACACTTTACGATCCTTAAAGAGAAGTTGGATTCATGCCCAAAAAGCTATTAAATATATTTGGAGGAAATTGAAAATAGATTTTAAATGTCTGATGCCACGATATCTGAATCAGAAAACTTTTTTTGTAAAGTAAGAAGCTTGGGAGTATGTAACAATAATCCCACTTGTTCGCAATTCGCTCAGTATAACATCTCGCTAATAATTGATAATTCTATGGGAACCCACCTACCAGAAGCAAATTGTGAAGATGAGGGTTGCGAGGTGGCTCCAGATAACTTAATCTCATTTATATCATCACCATTTGAAGAACAAGTGGTAGCGTTAAATTTTCCTGAATGTGAAACTCTTCAATATGACCTTCGCAATATAGAATTAACCCAGTTACATCATACCATTGCTGGTTTATTGCAAAAAAAAGGAATTTGTCCAAAGTGTCGGTCAAAATTAATTTCTGATAATTTAGATCCTGAGAATAGACTAATTGAAAGTAGAGGATATAGTCCCAAAGCACTCCTTGGCCCTTCTACTACAGCCTTTCAAAGCTGTTCACAAAATATTCCTTTAATTCAAGTATATTTTAGAAAAATATTGCACATGTGATAACATTTAAATGATTTTAAAACAACTGTTCAAAGAAGAGGATTTCATTCCATTCACTTGCGACAAACATGATATACAATCTTTGTTTGCCTATTTACAGTTTGCTTTGTATTGATGGAACGTCTTTATTAGTCAAATGTGATCAATTCTAAAGCAAATATTCAGATACAAAAGACGCCCAATTTTTCGCCTCAGTTTCTCAATATTTACCACCTAGTTCTAACTAAACTAAACAAAGCTAATGAATTTGCTGTTGCTATGTCAAAAGTAGTGGTTACCCATGGTGAAACCATATCTTAGTAATTTTAATTCCTTCAAAAACATGCATAATATTTTATTTGAAATTAGTTGCTAATGTAAGGGGGCCCATTTTTTGTTTTTGCACCGGAACCCTCGGCCACCTTGCTACGTCACTGGAATTTACCAAGGACAATGCAATGATCAACGCCAAGGAAGAACTCTTGAAAAAACAAATTCTTTCATTGAAGTATTGTATAAAAAATCTATTGAAAATTCTCACAAATCTAAAGACTACAATTTGTTACATGAAGTTAATAAAAAAAATCATTATATCTCTACTACATAGGTGAAAGACTACGAGGTATTACAGTCCAATTCACAAAACTTACTTCTTTTAATAGCCACCTTATATGCTATGTGCTTAATAAGAAGAAACAAGCAACCAGAATATCTGGTAAAATTGAATATAATTCCAAGAATAATAAAGTCATGGGCTTTGTACTACCTCTAAAAAACGGAAACCTACACTCTAAAAAATACATTGGAATACGTAACTAATTTTTATTTGCTGAGGTGTTTAAGTTGACAAAAGTAAGTATTTTTAGTTAAAAAAACAAAACCATATTTTTCTTCAGTTATTCTAACAAAAAAATTAAGTTCCTTCAAAAAAGAAAAATTGTTAAATTAAAATTAGTTGCTATAAGAATATATTTAGTTGCTGTATATTTTTTCCCAAAAGCAACACATTGCTATGCTTAAATAACTCCTAAATGAGTTGATATTACCAATAATAAACTTGCTAAAGCAGCTAAATTTCAAATATTATTTTAACTAACAAATAAGAGTTGTCCTAGCCAATTTTTGGTTCTCGCAACTAAAATTGTTTCAGCAGCAGCCAATACCATCAGTTTCTACCACTAAAAATTTTGTTATATTAAATAATATTTTTTGCAAGTCGATTATTCCCCCATTTGCAAAAAAATGCCGGTTGATGTTCCCAGAATTCATAGACAAGTCGAGACTAGAGCATTATTTCTTTACGCACAAAGTGATAAAATTGGATTGGTGTGGTGGTGCGAGACGGAGCTCAGAGGAAGAGACATTCCGTTTTGGCGTTGGTTTTGGTTAAAACTGCCTTAGATCGTTGGTTCTATTATTCCCATTTCGAACTCTTTTGTGGTTTTGTGATTGTTTGGCTGTGTTCTGCGTGCCTGTGTGCCTTGATGTAAGTATTATTTCCGGTATTTATAAGAAGTAGATACTTACCTACAGCCTAAAGGACAACAAAAATTAATTTTGATGATAAAATATAAAAAAATTAAACCCGGTGGCCTCTTATTACCTACTTGGTCCCCTAAAATCATGTACCCATACAAGGGGGTGGGACTTTTCGCCGCAGCCGGTTCGCCGCGGCCGATTCGTCGCGGCCGTTTCGCCGCAAGCCGTTTCGCCGCAAGCCGTTCCACCGCAAGGCCTTTTCGCCGCAAGCCGTTTCGCCGCAAGCCGTTTCGCCGCAGGACATTTCGCCGCCCGCCGTTTGTTGCGTTATGAGACAAAACTAGTAGTTTGAAACAGAGATGGGCTGATATTGAAAAGCAATTAAATAAGACATCAGGTGAATTGGGGTGTCCGAAATTATAACTCTTTTTTCAGTAGCAATAAAAAAGACAATGCCATGATTTTGACCAGGTTATTTTTATTGTTTGGTAGAATCACTAGAAAAGCAAACCCTTTCTGCATAAAGTAGTAATAAAAAGGACAATGCCATGATTTTGATCAGGTTATTTTTATTGTTTGGTGGAATCACTAAAATTTTGTTCACTATTTAAACCTGAAAATTTTGACCAAATCTTACATAATTATTTATATACAATAATACAAAGGGTTTCTAATGGATAAATATATATATATTTTTATTGTCAATTGTGCTGCATTTCAAAGTTGTGTGATATGCCTCTCAAATAGTCTAGAATGTTTCTGTTAGCAAAATCCCGGACAATTCTTAAAATGCGCTCGTCGGCTTGAATGTATTTTCGCAATTTTTTCGGAGGTAGATTTCCTGCAATAAGTTGTTGCTGAAATAAATCTCGTCCTCTTTGTACCAGCTTGAGGGAATCTATCAATCTCCAAATCGTTGGATGGTCAAGTTGGATTTCCGCTTGTAGCCTTCTATTAGCCGCCTCGGCGTGATTATTGGTGCGAGGAAAACCTTCCAGTGTCCTTGAGTGAACAATCCACATCTCAACTGGAAATAGGGGGCGTCTTCTGTTACCACCCCGTCTGTTAGGCCGTCCAATATAATTATCTTCAAAATAATCTAAAGCCGTTTGCAATTCATCTGGTATGTTGTCCCTTAGCTGGTCTATTGCCGCATCGAATGAATTGATGGGAACAAAGGCTAAGCTCAAAATCATTTTGGCATTTAATGCAAAATTTGGGTCGTTTATGTACTGCTAGCGTAGTCCCAATTGCGCTAAATGCCTGTGAAAATTCTGGCTTAGATGAAAAAAATTACATATATTTGGCTAAAAAGAGGAGGTGCAGGTTTGAAGGTTCCATCCACATACCAGATCCTTGATTGCTGAAGAAGGTCTATATTCCTTTGCCGTCCAAATATCAAAATCCTGTCATTATCCGGACCACTGTCATTGAGGAGGAAGTTCTCTTCTTCATCATATGTTCTGTATCTTTCAGGTATTTCCAATTCCTGAAGCGATGCTGGCATTGGAGGAGCTGCCTGAATTACATTTCCGGTTCGCGTAACTAATTTTCGTAAGGCACTGTTATTAGGCATGGAACCTAAAAATAAGAAAAAGGAATAATATTATCAATGAGGAATTAAGAAAAATAAAAATAATGATGTGAGGTAGCGTAAACTCTTCATACCTTGTGCGGATTCTGAAATGCTCGCGACTACTCCATTAATGATTTGAATCGGCGCTTCCATAGTATCTTCAGCTCGTCGTTTTATTTTATTTTTTATCATATTATCCACCTCAATTTTCGTAGGGGTTGGTCCGTGGTTGTGGTCGGTTACTCTTAAAGCCAATTCGCCATTTCTAACATGGATTCTGCCTTTACATCTTCCCCTTTGCTCGCAGCGGAAGAACTTTGTGTCGTTGTCCTGACTCAATTTGTCGAATACATAAATGTACCCATCACTGAAAAATTTATCTTGTTTTCTCTTAGATAAAAGTCGATCCATCCTTGCTGCGTTCTGACAGAAGACTAGTACTTTGAAACCGACAAGTCTTCTCTTTATGCTTGACAAAATGATAATTTTAATAAGCAATAAAGTAAGACAGGTAGATTAGGCTTTCCGAAATTAAAACCCTTTCTTGTTCATCATATGTGTTTCGGGCAAGTACCAATAAAAAGGACAATACTATGATTTTGACCAAGTTATTTTTATTGTTGAATTACCAGAAAACCCAACTAACCCTTTTTTCAGAAAGTAGCAATTTTGACCAGGTAATTTTTTTTTCATCAAGATGGGTTGTTTTCATTGTTATTATCAATAATAATTTAAGCCTGGAAATTTGGACCAGAACTTACATTACTAATTATATCTAGGATTATTCTCAACGCGGCGAAACGGCTTACGGCGAAATGGCTTGCGGCGGAACGGCTTGCGGCGAAACGGCTTACGGCGAAACGGCTTGCGGCGAAACGGCCGCGACGAATCGGCCACGGCGAATCGGCTGCGGCGAACTGTACTAGACCCCCCATACAAAATATCCCACAATGAGTTTGATAAGTATAGAAATAATAGGTATTTTTTGTGGTATTTTTTTGTCAACGGCAACACATTTTATAGTTGTCCTAACCAATTTTGGGTTCTTGCAAATAAGAATTTTGTAGGAGCAACTGATCAGTACCTACATGCTAATACCAATATAGTAGGTATCTGACATAAACTAAGTAAAATAGGAATTTCAGGATGATGGATAATATAATAAAATACATACCATTTAAATAAATAAGCATGTCAAGATTCGTCAATAAATTTCTGCTTGTACCAGTTATGTATACCTCCTGCATAAGTAGATTTTTTTTGTAGATTTATTAAACAATGGAAGAAAACCTCGAAATTAAAGAACTATTGGAAAAATGGGACTTGGTAGAACTTATCCCAATTTTTGAAGGTTTGTATACTTACCTACACTGTGGGCCAAATTAAGTTGGAACATAATTTGACCATTAATAACTTTTCTGTCTGTTTATGGATTTTAGATTTCTGGATATGATATTAGTCGATATTTTTTGTTGTCACGTTAAAATTAATTAGGTAGACCAATTTTGGTCAGGTCCGGACTTACGACGATTTTTTTTGGCCCACAATGGTATATTGTGTTCTCTCGAATATTTCTTTAGAAAAAAACTCTTTCAGAGCATGGTATAGAAACTGGGACAATGAAAGATCTATCAGCAGAGCTTATTAGGGAGTTAATTCCCAAAATTGGCATTAGGGCAAAATTTTTGAAAAAATTTGAGAATTATACAAATCCCCAGCAGTTAGAAACGCCTAATGTGTTGCAAATCGGCAATGCCAACTATCAGATGATAGATTTGAATGATAGTATACTGGCCAGCCTGAGCCCATTGACTTCGACAAACATTGAAATGTGTTCCTCAAGCGCATCTTCGAACATCAGTTCCGCAGAAAATTTACCATCTATGCCAAGTCAAAATGTTAACCAAGTTTTGAGTACTGCTGTGAATACGCCTTCACCGTCTTCATCCAATCAAAATATGAAAACTTTGAAGGAAACTGGCTTAAAGGATTTGTTAATTTCAACAACACGGGGGAAATTGGTAATGTTTTCATACAAAAAAAATGGAAAACTTTTGCCTGAATTCAGAGACAAATTGGTGGATTTGATGTTAGATGCGGAGCTGGAGGAACATATGGATAAAAAAGTTTCCATATTGCGCTTTCAAGAAATGGCTGCTGCTATTATTGCGTTATTTCCCGGCGAATGTCAAGTAAGTAATTTCTATATAACTGTGTATGATGTATCTAGTTATATACATATTCACTTTGGTTTAGTAATCAAGGGGAAATGCAAATCTGGGGACATGGCTGCTCTAATCGTGATGACCAAAGTTTTATCACATGGAATTTTACCATTTTCATGTCTATTATAGATATTATAAAAATTCCGATAAAGATAAATTTATTTTAGGAAGTGTACTTTCGCAAAACTAGGAAAAGAAATGGCGGCTATGTTGGCGGGGGAAAGTTGTTCAGCAAATACTATAATTTAATAAAACAACTTAGACTCAATGGCCTTATTAAAACTAAGAAATCTGAGTCTGACGACGAATTGTTAACTGGACATGATAAAGGTAGGAACTTAGGTATTTCAATGCTATCGTCTCATATCTTTGATGTCCGATTGACCAATAAAGTGCTATTTATAAAACAGTTTTGCGTCAATGAAATAGCACTTTATTTCACTAGTTAAATAAGGTATTTGTCAGCTGCTGTCACTTCTTAGCATTGCCAAATTCGTCATTCAACCTAGAGGTAAAACAGGTTGGTATACCATACCATACCTACCTACCTACAGGGATACCCACCTTCATCAGGCATACTAGGATTTTAATTTTTTTATTCATTTTTTTATAAAATCTAGTCGCAATCGTACATAAAATCATGTATATAACGCTCACATAAACAAACTTTATTAACTCATTATTTAATAGCCTCGATCGCAAGCTCACTCGGCCATAAAATCATTCGTACAGTAACGTCCTATTTTATGAAAGTTTGCTTGTTATATAAATAGCTACCTTTTCATTTGGTATAAATGAAGACGAGGTATAAAGCTGAACTGATGTTTTTGTTTTATAGAGTCTGATGAGAACGACGAAAATATGCAAGAGGCAGTCGATTGGCTGAAGCATAACATACAGCCATATTTGCAATTGGAAAGCCGTTGGAGGCAAACATGCCAGAAAAGGCGAACCCTTTTGAAAAACACACCTATTGACCAATATTTAAAACTTTTTCCAATTCTTCAAACCAATGAAGGTTACAATATGGTAGGTTTTTCTATATTTTGCATAATGAAGATAGAAACAAATGGAATATTCAACTTTTAGTTTAATATCGACTTTGAGGAGCTTTACAAACAAAATGACATATTTTATCTAAAATGGACTTCATTTTCCTTCAAAATATTTGAATATGCCAAATCCAATTGTAATGACAAAGCTGTCCAGGATTTAGTTAAACAAATTGAAAGTGGTATCCTAACTGAAGGTAATGATGTTTGTTGTATTTATCTCATCCGAATACTTTTTTAATCTTATCCTATTTTATTGTATCCTTGGTAAAGATGGAAGAAATATGAGAATCTTAAAAATGATGCCATACATGATGACTCCTGTTACCATTACCAGGAAATGGAAACCTTCAAAGTTGGAGATAGAGGAGGCATTTATTTTGTACATCAAGGTAATAAATTCATACCTACCTATCATTTTAATTGAAAATGTACCAACGAGTGTATGGGATATTTTGTATGTTTACCTATATATGAATATATTATCAGAAAGTTGAAACTGCAACCTAGAGGTTATTATCAATTATCAATATACGGTTTTTAACAGAGTGAAATGGAATGCTACGTATGTAATTGTTCAAATTTTATTTTTAGAGCCTGGATGACTTGCAAGTCGCGATAGAAAATAGAAAAATAAAACTTGACAAACTGAAATTGAATTTTCAACCAAAACCAATTTTTATTGGTTCTGACTTGGACAATATCACCTCCTCCTACGTTAGAGTCGATGAAACCCTTTATTTGGTAGAATCGCTTTTGAAAGCCATAGAAGTAACTTTCAAAGCAATCCATGCTTTAAATGCGTTATACCCTGCAGAAGCAGAACAAGTCTGGCTTCTCATTCAAAGAGGCATATTTAACCTGGAAACTAAATTTGACAAAAAATTTGTCGCCGTAAACTTAATTTTACCACACCTAGAATAAAGGTGTATTAAATATAATAAGAATTTGAATATAACATAGGTATTATAGGTAATAATTGATTGACATATCATTAGTAGTATATGTATCCCATATTCCAACATTGAAAAAATAAAACTAAAAAGTTTTATCATGATATGTTCCGAATGTAAATCCTTTTTTACCAGTTTCAAATCTCTTCAAGCACATTTAAAAATTGTCCATAAATTTCATTCATTATCAATTTATTCTTGTCATGAAGTAAATTGTTTTCGAAAATTTAGCTCACTACGTTCGTTTCGTAATCACTGCAGCCTTAAGCATACTGAAAGTAATCAAAATGTTGCAAGTTGTATAGCGAAAGATGGTCCTTCTGTGGAATATGAGGCTCAAGATGCAGCAAAGGAAGAATTTTTTAAAGAAAATGAACCCGATGAAAATAATTTGGATAGTTTTAAACTACATTTCAATAACGAATTGCTTTTATTTATATCAAAACTTTATAGCCTTTCCCATTTGCCCAAAACTTATATTCAATTAATTATTAATTATCTTTCTGAGCTTTTCGGAACTTTAGAAACTCTTGAAAAAATTCTAACAGATAATTTAACTATGCCACACCATTTTAAAACATCAATTTTGAGTATCTTCAGTCTATTCAAAAATCCATTCGAATCCTATAAGTCTGAGTATTTGCGTGTAAAGGAAATGGAAAGCACTGAAAACTTTATAAAACCAATAACATACAATATTGGTGAATGTTTAACTGACGTTCGCAGTAAACAAAACATTTTATATAAATCGGTTGGTGTGACAGCTCAATTCATTCCTCTTAGAGTTCAATTAAAAAAGTTTTTTGAAAACAGGACGTTTTATTCTGCAATTCAAAATTATCTTGAACATATTGATCAACAACAATTAGGTATGTCAAATATTATGCAAAGTGCATTGTGGACTGAAATTAAACGCAATTTCACAGGGAAGACGGTTTTTCCTTTATTGCTTTATTATGATGATTATGAAACTGGGAATGCTTTGGGTTCACATGCTGGCGTACATAAACTAGGAGCCATATATATCTCTCTGCCATGTTTACCACCACAATATTCTTCTAAATTGAATAACATATTTTTAGCACTTTTATTTCATGCTAATGATAGAAAAGACTTCGGAAATAGGGCGGTTTTAAAAATTTTACTAGATGAGTTGTCGTTTTTGGAAAGTAATGGTATCCAAATTTGTACAGGCACAAAAACTGAAAAAATATATTTTGCTTTGGCATTAGTTTTGGGAGACAATTTGGGAATGAATAGTATTTTGGGATTTAATGAAAGTTTTGTGGCAAATTATTTTTGCAGAATTTGTAAAATGTCAAAAGATGATACATTTTTTTCTTGCTCCCAGGATAGTCTTTTATTAAGAAATTCACTCAATTATGAACATGATTTAGTGGAAATACAAGATAATTCAAAAACTGGCATTAAAGAAGAATGCGTTTTCCATGTGTTGAATAATTATAATTTAACCAAAAATATTTCTGTTGACCCAATGCATGATCTTCTAGAAGGTATATGTCACTATGATCTGATTTTGATTTTACATAATTTTGTGATTGAAAAAAAATACATCTCTTTAGACAATATTAATTATAAATTAAAAATTTTCAACTATGAATTTAATGAAGTGGGAAACCGCCCCGCCCCTCCCCGCTAACTGGCGATTTTTTCAAAAAAAGTAAGCTACCATTTTCTGCCTCAGAAATGCTGTGCTTTGTGAGAATATTTTCTTTTTTAGTTGGAGAATTTATTCCTTCAAACAATGCTTATTGGGAATTATATAAATATTTGAAAATAATAATTGAATTAGTTTTAAAAGAATCCACAACTCCTGAGGATATTAATTATCTGAAACGTTGCATTTTGGAGCATAATAAATTATACCTACGTTTATCAAAAAAACATTTAACTCCAAAATTTCATTTTTTAACACATTATCCCTATGTAATTTCCCAAATAGGTCCATTGGGTGGTAATATTTGGAGTATGCGATATGAATCCAAACACCAAGAATCAAAAAGAACAGGAAATGTAACATGCAATCGAAAAAATATTACCTATTCATTGGCAATGAAACACCAACTGAGGGTATGTTTTCGTTTAATTTCAAAGGAAATATTTCCTCCCGATTGTTCATTTGGTAGTTTGAATCTTATTAGTAACTTGAATGAATTTCTCTATTTTCTTGGACCATTGGAAGAAATATTTCTGTCCATACCATGGTTTTCCTGTAATTGGATAATTCATCAGGGATATAAATACAAAATTAATACAGTTTTCCTTACACATAGTGATGACTTATTGCCACAGTTTGGTATTGTAAACAATATTTTATTGAGTAGTGAAAATCATGTGTGTTTTTTGCTCAAAATATTTGAAACAGATTGTTTCAATGAACACTTTTTAGCATATGAAGCACACCTGACAAACATTTCCACCCTAACTTTTATTGATAACATAATGGATTATAAGCCTTGCTTACTGAAACAAATTAATGAGATGTATCTAATAAATCATTAGACTCAATATTTTAATATAATATTTTGCCAGCGTTTCATGAGAATGATATTCAATCAATTATTACCATAGAATAATAATAATATTGTATTTAGTTTTTTGCGTTGGAAATACCAGATTATGAATTAAGTATGTTTTGTTGAAAAAAGAATTTATTTTGTTTTGATATTTTCTTAATCGAGTTAGTAAGCTCAAAGTATTAGGTAAGGTACCTATTGTTTTTATTTCTTAGGAATAACGTTTTTTTTTTAATATGTATTTCAATAAAATTTGTGCATTTGTTGTTTTTTTTTATGAAATTTTAATTATTTTATTTATTTTATATGATATTCAGAATTTTTTTGTGTGCTTATTATAGTTTAACTTTGATATTAAAAATGTTCTACAACGAAGTTTTTTTCTCTACCTATATTTGGTTGTTAAACAAAACTTTCCCTATCCAAGCAAAACTAATTTAGTAAGTAGGTAACCTATTGAAATTAAATAGCCCCAACCTTTTGTTGTCCTAACTTAGTGATTTAGGATCCATTCGATTTTTCTTGGTATATTATATTTAGTTTAAATAATGCTAATGAGTTAAGAGAACACTTTTTTTTCCACACAATACTTATCTGTGTATTTTCAGCTATGAAAAATTCAATGGTTCGGATGGCAAATGATAATTGTTAAAGCCTTAGCTGCATCAAACTTTAAGGGTTGTAATTATTACTAAAGCAAAATATATATCAGTTTTTGAGAACATAATAACTTTAGTAATTATTAAAATTAAAACCCTGAAAGTTTGATTGCAGCCAAGAGTTTAACAATCATCATTTGCCATCCGAACCATACCATTTTTCATTGCAAATAAAAAACATTAAGTAGATAAGTACCAAAATAGGTATTGTGTAAAAAAAAATAGCCATGTGTTCTCCTAACTTATTGGCATTATTTAAACTAATTTTTTTTTTTTCAAGGAAAAATCGAGGGAAAAATAAATCAATAAGTAAGGGCAACAACAGGTTCTAGCTTCCCCAGCTTATATTTTTGTTGTGGAAACTAAAAACTGAGCGTTATGATAACTAAAGTTTTAAATTAGCTTAGCTTATATTTTGATTGTGGTAACTAAAAGTTATGTGTTACACTAACTAACGGTTTTAGCTTCCTTAGCTCATATTTTGGTTGTGATAACCAAAATCTGTCTCCCATATCAACGAAAATTCTTAGCTCCCTTAACTTATATTTTGGTTGTGAGAACTGAAAAATGATTGCTACACTAATTAAAATTTTTAGCTTTTCAAGCTCATATTTTGTTTGCGATAACTAAAGACTCTCTGCTACAATAACTAACATTATTAGCCTGTTTAGATTATCTTTTCGTTGTGGTAACTAAAAGCTATGTGCTACACTTACTAATTCAATTAATTGAGTCAACCGCTAGACAGCAACAAATTTTGGTTTTTGTAGCAACCAAATTTTGAGTCGAGTCCATTTTCACGAAAAAAATCTGTTGTCGCAACCAATTTTTAGTAACGGATACGATGTTATTTTTAAGAGTGTATGAAGTAAAAACGGCAAGTTGTATACTTTCTTCTCTGGAAATGACATCAAATCTATCCAATCATAAAGTTACCAAATGGCCAAGGGTTCATATAGAGACAAACATCAGAATGCTATGTCCAAGATACTTGTTCATATAGGCACTAAGCTGCGAAATCGTTTGTTGAAAAAAAGAACCTGACATTTCCTATAGGAGAATATAACATTGCTATAGATCATTTAAATATGCTCATAGATAAATATGACAAGAGCCAACATTTTCTTTTATTAACCCTGATGATAAAATGAACTTTGGGAGTGACCCTAAAATAATAGATTTTGAAGTTCAGAAATACTGGACAACTATCCAGAATGCAGAGGAACTTCATATTTGGATATGGAATTAAATATAGAAAAAAGGATTCACAATATCTGATTGGCAGTTTTTTTTTCTTCGGATATAAAGAACATGGGTAAAAATAGTAAAGTACATAATGTTAAAGATTTCATGTCAGACAATGCTTATCTTTTTATAGAACTCAACGCTCACTTTCTTTTGAAATTGATAGTTATGTTTTCCTTATTAATGTATTAGGAAGTTTTCTAATATCAAAAAATATTGCAGATGCCAGATACCACACTCAATCTGAAACTTAAAACAATTTCAAATGGGTAAAATTTTATAAGATTCTGAAAGAATTTCATATTAATCAAAATGTTCCGTTTACATGAAAATGTAATTTTAAGGAGTCATAGAGTAGTGATTCCGGAAATATCAAACGTATACATAGTTATAGTTATTTACAATCCAAGCTGCGAAAGCGTACTTTTAGGTGTATTTTAATAGCCGAGGCAAAGCGAAGCGCAGCCGAAAATGCGCAACCGAACATCTTCCTTGGATTTCCAGGCTTCCAGACCAAGGAAAAAACTAATTTTTGCCGAAGTAAATGCCGTACCTATTTATATTGAGCATTCATTTGGCTTAGTCAATTGCAGCTATTTTGTATAATGAAGAATGAAAAAAGTTTGTATTTCGTGCAAAATTCTTTAATAAATATCAGTGCAAAGCGCTTTCGGCCGTGGCCATCATCAGTGCAACCTGAAAGTAAGGAAAAACACTTTCTGAAGATACTGGAAAAATTTATGAAAGTTTGGAAATTTTGGAAAATTTGAAATTTTTTGAAATTTTTGAAAATTATCTGAAAAATCTTGGAAAATTTAATCTAAATTAATTTAAAATATTCAAAAAGAAAGAAAATAATTACTAAAGAAAGTAGATTTATTCACTTCGTCAGGTTTGTACAAAGAGTCTTCTCGTTGAACATATAGGTGTAAAGGAACGAAAACATCTCATTACAAATTAAAAATTAACACTTTAAAATATCAGAAGATCTTTGGTTTTTACTGGTACTCTATGCAAAGGCTGTGTCTTTTCAAATTACAATCACATCGAAAGATGTTTTTTAAGTTTAAATTAAAATTTCTTTAAATTTTGTGTGGAAGACCAACATGGTGATGAATGATGTGCAGCCATTTTGTGTATGGTTGCACGTTTTTAATTGTGGTTTCCCTTTAGAGTGACACATGACAAGTAAGTCAGTGTAGCTGACAAGAGCGGGAAGTTCGAAAAATAAAAGTTTATAAAATCCAAAACCATTACCAACGTTTTTTTAAAATCAATATTTGGAGAATTAAGATGTTTATAGTGAAAAACAACATAGCTAAGTGGTGTGACCTGTAGTGTAGATGACGAGCTAGTCGTCCACAATGTGTAGACTACCCTTATATCATCATAGAGTGGAAATAGGATATATGAGTTTAAGTTGAAATAGATGAAAATTTTTTAAGTAAAATAATTGAATAAATTGATTTAATTAAGATCCTCTATTGGTTTTTTTGATTCAATTCAAAAGACGTCTGTGTAAGGGGATGTAAGATCTATTAAGGTTCACCTGAGTGTTGAGACAAGAGAAGTTGTCCTGAAGTTCGTTTCTGATTTCAATGTCCCCCATAAAATCCAAACGGTTGAAGTTTTTAGAGCGAATTTCGTGAAGAATTTTCGAATTTGACCTGGGGCTGAAATTATGCTTAGTTGTCCTAATGTGTTCACCAAAGGCAGAGGTAGTTTTAGTAAGATGTTCCTGTATTCGAATCTTGAGAGGTCTGCAAGTTCGCCCAATGTAAGTGCAATTGCAGGAGTTGCAGTTTAATTTATATATTCCACTCTTGGACAGGTGGTCAATTTTGTCTTTGGAGTTGACCAGAAAGGAAGACAGGTTATTTTTGGATTTGAAAGAGATTCTGATGTAGTTGTTGACATTTTGGTGAAAGACCTGTAGAATTTTAAGATTCAAATCATGATTCAAGAAAGGAATAGCAATATATTTCTCTATTGGCTTATTCAGGGTAGGAAATAACTCTTTTTCAATCTTTTATATTTAGTTTTTGTTATGAGGGTGTCAATTAAGTTTGGGTC